ATGGGAGTGTGTGACTTGAACTATTGATTGGTCCGTGCAGATAGATATATGCCTTTATCTGCCACATTGGAATTCACAACCAAATGTGTCTTTGTTCCAACCACCCCGTAAAAGCCCTATACAGAGGATAGGCTGGTTTGTTTGAAGAGAATCTTTTCTATGATCTATGATCAGACCCGATCATATCGTACATGAACAGGCTCCGTAAGATCCAGTAGAATAAGTAATGTGACTTAAGACAGATTTTGTTTTAGCTATTTTACATTTTACTTACTTAATAGTATAGAAATGCAGCCATTTCCTCTGCATCGACCTGATTTATGATACTATCGGAGTGAAACAAGGGGTCTAAAGAAAAAAGAGCAGAGGCTAGACTATATTAGTAACAAGTAAATCCTTTGTATTTAAGGTAAAATAAAAAGTTTCAAGATATTTTGGGGATAAAGTTCAATTGCAAGGTCTGAGACGACCCAGAAAGCACTTGATTATGATGAACTTTGTAAGCTTACTTGGGTCTTGAGCATTTACTTGTAAGAACTAAATTCCTTGCAATGGGTAGTTGCAATTGTGAAAAATGGAATCCGGTCAATTTCTTCTTACATAGAATCAGTGATATATGTGTGGATACTATATAGATTTTATAACATATAGATTTCTTTTCTATGAATATGGATCCATTTGGTTTAGTTGATTCTTGCTCGAGCCGGATGATGAAAAATTCTCATGTCCGGTTCCTTCGGAGGATGGATCTATAAGAATTCACCTATCCCAATAACAAAAAAACCTGACTTAAATGATCCTGTATTAAGAGCTAAATTGGCTAAAGGGATGGGTCATAATTATTACGGAGAACCCGCATGGCCCAACGATCTTTTATATATTTTTCCAGTAGTAATTTTAGGTACTATTGCGTGTAACGTAGGCTTAGCGGTTCTAGAACCATCAATGATTGGTGAACCCGCGGATCCATTTGCAACTCCTTTGGAAATATTACCCGAATGGTATTTCTTTCCCGTATTTCAAATACTTCGTACAGTACCTAATAAGTTATTGGGTGTTCTTTTAATGGTTTCAGTACCTGCGGGATTATTAACAGTACCTTTTTTGGAGAATGTTAATAAATTTCAAAATCCATTTCGTCGTCCAGTAGCGACAACTGTCTTTTTGATTGGTACCATAGTGGCCCTTTGGTTGGGTATTGGAGCAACATTACCTATTGATAAATCTCTAACTTTAGGTCTTTTTTAAATTGATTCAATTGTGAAATAAAATATCACGACTTATGTATCTAGGGAATAGTCTCTTCAAAGTGAATTTTCCCTAGATACATCTATTCAATTAAATTCTGGATTTATTCTGAATATATAAATTATGTTAAAGTTCAAATAAAAGCCCATTTCATCTTTTTTTAAAAAAGAAACTAAAGAAAAAAAAAGACGATTTCCAATTTATTCTTCGGTAAATGGGTTGTGAAATGCTTTTTCTATTTCTAGACTGTTCAATATCTGTTTTACATCTTCTATGCGAAAATATTCCATTTTCATAAGGTCTTCTTGACTCTTATTCAAAAGGTCAAATAATGTATGTATATTGTACCTTTTGAGACAATTATAGGTCCTGGGAGGCAATTCGAATTGGTCAATAAAAATAGATTTCAATGCTATTTCTTTTTTCGTTTTCCTTAGCTTAGCCAATCTATCATGAAAAGTAAAAAGGGGTAAAGTAACCTTGTACTGATTGTTCTCTAAATGTAAGTTTTCTTCTTCCGCATGTAGAAAAGGAATAAATAAATCAATTAAATTCCGGGAGGCTTCATGAAGTGCTTCTTTAGGAGTTAAACTTCCGTTTGTCCATATTTCGAGAAAAAGTATCTCTTGTTTTTCATTTCCATTCCCATAAGAATGAATACTATGATTCGCATTTCGAACAGGCATGAATACAGCATCTATAGGATAACTTCCATCTTGAAAGTTTTTTGGTGCTTTTATATGATATCCGCGATTCCTCTCGATTTGTAATCCAATACACAAATTAATGGGTTCCGTTAGACTAGCTATATACTGTGTGTTATCAACGATTTCTACAGAAGTTGGTAAGACGATGTCTTGAGCAGTTACACATCCAGGACCCTTGACACAAATAGACGCGTTGCGAGTTCCATACAGATTACTTCTCAATACAATTTCTTTTAAATTCATTAAAATTTCATGTACTGATTCTTGAATACCTACTATGGTAGAATATTCATGTGGTATTTTTTCAAATTTTGCACGGGTGATACATGTTCCTTCTATTTCCCCAAGCAAAGCTCTTCGCATCGCAATGCCTATTGTATCGGCTTGCCCTTTCATAAGTGGAGATAGAATAAAGCGTCCATAATAAAGACGCTTACTGTCTGCTCTTGATTCAACACACTTCCACTGTAGTGTCCGAGTAGATACTCTTACTTTCTCTCGAACCATAATAATATTATTTGATCAGATCATTGAATCGTTTATTTCTCTTGAAATCTCTTTTATTTTCATTTCTACACACGTCTTTTTTTAGGAGGTCTACAGCCATTATGTGGCATAGGGGTTACATCACGTACGAAATTTAATAGTATACCACTTCGACGAATAGCTCGTAATGCTGCATCTCTTCCGAGACCAGGACCTTTTATCATGACTTCTGCTCGTTGCATACCTTGATCTACTACTGTCCGAATAGCATTTCCTGCTGCGGTTTGAGCAGCAAATGGCGTCCCCCTTCTTGTACCATTGAATCCACAAGTACCGGCGGAGGACCAAGAAATTACCCGACCCCGTACATCTGTAACAGTCACAATGGTATTGTTGAAACTTGCTTGAACATGAATAACTCCCTTTGGTATTCTACGTGTACTTTTACGTGAACCACTACGGGCATTCGTACGTGAACCAGTTCTTGGTCTAGATTTTGCCATACTTTATCATCTCATAAATAGAAATTCGAGATATATGGATATATCCATTTCATGTCAAAACAGATCCTATTTTTTTCATTGGGTCCTTTACGTTAGAGAGCCCCTTTTCAAAAGATTATCCTTGTCTTTGTTTATGTCTCGGATTAGAACAAATTACTATAATTCGTCCCCTCCTACGGATCAGTCGACATTTTTCACAAATTTTACGAACGGAGGCCCTTATTTTCATAGTTGTCGTTCCTTAACTTAATTCTGACTCTATTTATTGGAAGAAAATAAGTTTCTTGAAATGTTGAACCTCAAATTGTATCCCCATGAAGGGAATGCTGAAGTTGAAAAAACAACCTAATCATTCGAATCCTTGTTGTGGCATCTATAAATTATACGCCCTCTGGTTGAATCATAATGACTTACTTCAATTTTGCCCCTCTCCCCCCATCGTATACGTATAAAACTCCGTCGGATCCTTCATGAACCATAACCTAGAATTAGATCTTCATTATCGAAAAACCCCGAGCATACATACCATTTAGAAGGAGAAGTGATTCATTAATGAAACCTTCATGAATCCATTTTTTTGTTCTTTCATTCTAGGTAAAAGCCCTAGAAGTATCACCTAATGTAGTAGGAATGATATCAACTAACCCACCCTTTTTTCTTTTGACAAATAGGAAATTCCGGATCCAATTCGGATATCAGAAAGATTACCATATATAACACAAAATTTCTCCGCCGATTCTTTCGAGTCGAGCCTCTCGGTCTGTCATTATACCTCGAGAAGTCGAAAGAATTACAATCCCCATCCCGCCTAAAATTCTAGGAATTCGTTGATAGTTCGAATAGATTCGTAGGCCAGGCCTACTGATACGTTTTAAATTTAAAATAGTTCGATAGGGTCCTTTCCTATTCCTTCTATGTCGTAGGGTTAAAACCAAAAAATATTTGTTGTTTTCCTGATGCTTCCTCACGTTTTTGATAAAACCTTCTCTTAAAAGTATTTTAACAATGTTTTCCGTGATGTTAGTGGATGCTATTTGAATCGTCCCTTTTCTATTCATGTCAGCATTTCGTATAGAGGTTATTATGTCAGCAATAGTATCCCTACCCATGATAAACTAAATTTTGGGTTGCCTCCCATTTTTGATATAATCAACATGCTATTTTTTATTTATTTTTATATTTTATTTATTAAATAAAGGGATATGCGTCAGATACAACCTAATCCACTAATTAATCTATTTCATCCAAATACTATGTATAATAGAACTATATTACGTATAATCTCATCTTATAATACCTCAGGTGCTAATGAAACTATTTTAGTGAAATTTAACTGTCTCAATTCTCGGGCAATCGCACCAAAAACTCGAGTTCCTTTTGGATTTCCTTCTTGATCAATCACAACTGCAGCATTATCATCATATCGTATTATCATACCGTTGTCACGTTTAAGTTCTTTACAAGTACGTACAATTACAGCTCTGATCACTTCTGATCTTTCTAGAGGTGTGTTTGGTAATGCTTCCTTGATCACAGCAACAATAATGTCACCGATATGAGCATATCGGCGATTACTAGCTCCTATGATTCTAATACACATTAATTCTCGGGCCCCGCTGTTATCCGCTACATTCAAATGGCTTTGAGGTTGAATCATATCATTTTTTAATCTGTTCTTTCAATGTTAATGCAAAGGGCGAAGTAAAAAAAAAAAGAAATATTGTTTGTCAAAAAGAAACCTGCAATTGTTTTTTTATCCCCAAGACTTCTTTCCTTTGGTTCTACGTTCCTATCCCGAAATCATAAATTGAGTTCGTATAGGCATTTTGGACGCCGCTATTGAAATAGCCTTTCTGGCTATATTTTCTGCTACTCCCCCCATTTCATAAAGTATTCTACCTGGTTTAACGACAGCTACCCAATATTCGGGAGATCCTTTACCCGAACCCATACGTGTTTCCGTAGGTCTTACTGTAACTGGTTTGTCTGGAAATATACGTACCCATATTTTTCCACCACGGCGCACATTTCTTGTCATTGCTCGTCGCCCTGCTTCTATTTGTCTAGATGTGATCCAAGCGGGTTCAAGTGCCTGAAGAGCATATTTACCGAAACAAATACGATTACCTCGATAAGATATTCCTTTCATTCTTCCTCTATGTTGTTTACGAAATCGGGTTCTTTTGGGGTTATAGTTGATGGTTCTTTCTCAATTCCACCTCTACTACAGAACCGGACATGAGAGTTTCTTCTCATCCGGCTCCTCGCGAATGAAACGATTCGAATTTTATAATTTTATGACAATATACTGAATCATGGATTCTTTGAGATTTCATCTAATCTATTAGAAATTTCTATATCTTGTTTGGATATATACTTAAACATGTATTTTTTTTCTAGATAATTATTTTTATTTATAGATAATGTCGTTTTTTTATAACGAATCTTTATTTTGTTTTGCCTTTGATCGATCATATTATCATATTGGATCGAACAAGATTGAGTAATGTAAAAGAAGATTGAGTAATCTAATAAAAACTTTCGCGGGCGAATATTTACTCTTTCAATATCTATTTTAGTTGTAGGGTTAGCTCATGAATTCTCGGAATAAATGAATTGGTCCCTGGTTCGTTCCGCCATCCCCCCTAATGAATTATTAGGATTCATTTTTCAATAGAATCTTACGTATTCATAGGTTCCATCGTTCCCATCGCTTCGCAATTAATGGTTAGGTTTGAATTCTATAATGGAGCCCCTCATTAAATTTGTTCTTGAGTCAATCTTCTCAGTCTTTATTGGCTCGAGGCTCTTGATTTTTTTCTATGAATAGATTCATATAGTTATGGATGAATCAGTATTGATGCTTTATTACACTGCCTTTTATGAGATGACTCATAAACCTTACATATATTGGAATCCTATATCATTGATATTCTTTTTCTTTCTTTCTCTCAACCTTCCTTTTATCTGCATACTTTTTTTATATCATAATCAGATTGATTTTTTTTTATGCAAGAAAGATTTCAGTTGCTACAATGATATGACCAATATATCATATCTTGACTGCTTTTTTGTATCCAGATAATGTGAAACGATGAGTTGGTTATTAGTTCTATAGTTATTAGTTCACAGTAGGGGTCTGTCCATTTTTTTGGAATTCTATCCTATAAAAAAAACCAACGAGTCACACACTAAGCATAGCAATTATATGAAATCATCAATCAAATTTTTATTCAACCTTACATAATTGCTTATTTTTTTGATTTAAGAGAAAAAGTTTTTTTTTATTCTATTTTTTTTTATCAATGGATATAGTGTAAAGAGTAAAAACAAGGAAAGTATTCTTATTCCCCATTCTTATTCCCCAAATATCCAAATTTTGATGCCTAATACTCCATAGACCGTTTGGACTCCATAGGAACAATAATCAATTTTAGCTCGAATGGTTTGTAGAGGAACCCTACCTTCTCTGATCCATTCGACACGTGCAATTTCTTTTCCGTCGATGCGACCTGCAATTTGTACTTGAATTCCTTTTGTATCTGTCTGTTCGGTTAATTCAATAGCCTTTTTTATTGCTTTGCGAAATGAAACTCTATTCTTTAATTGTCCGGCTATAAATTCTGCAAGAATATTAGGGTGCCCATAAGGGTTTGTAATTCTTGTGATAGCAATGTTGAGTTTTCGG